AAAAGTAATACGTCAAGGTTATCAAAAAAGTAATACGTCAAGGTTATCAAAAAAGTAATACGTCAAGGTTATCAAAAAAGTAATACGTCAAGGTTATCAAAATGTATACAAAAGGAATCAAATTTTTTAACATAGAGCAAGGAATACTCGAAGGCACTAACTATGCGAGAAAGAGTTCTAGGATCGAAAAATATAGCAATCTTTTGGTAATACGTCAAGGCAGAATATTATAAGGAAAAAGGTAAGATAAATTTGTGCTTTGACGTATTACCAAATAAGAGATAACAATTCGGCACTACGTACCTCATTATCGGATGCTTTGGTGTGTTACCAGATATGATAAAAATTCGGCACTACGTGCCTCATCCTTGATCGGTATTCGAATACATCACACAAAGCCAGGATACGAATACTATTTCGGCACTACGTGCCTCATCCTCGATTGATATTCGAATGCATTATAACAGTTAACAATTCGGCACTACGTGCCTCATCCTTAATCGATATTCGAATGCATCATACAAAGCCAGGATACGAATACTATTTCGGCACTACGTGCCTCAAACCTGGCCCGCATCGAGGAATTAACCAGAAAGCTAAGGGCACTACGTGCCCAGTTCGGGCATAGCCCTCACATCGGGCTTGCAAATGATGACGAGGCAAATGCAAAACGCACGTCACTCGAATGTGTCGTGAAACGCAAAACGCACGTCACTCGGGCGTGACATAAAAAAAAATGAAACACATACCATATTGGTGCACATCTCAGCAGTCCTCAAGTGACGATATGAATGCAACCTATATACCACTCAATTTGTGGACTACAATCACCCCATCTATGACGAGGCAAACGTAAAACGCACGTCACCCGAATGACGAGGCAAACGCAAAACGTATGCCACACTAGCACACGTCTCAGTGGCTCTTAAATGGCGATACAAATGTATCAAATCATTAAAAGGAAGCAAATAACAAGCTTATTAGAGGTCAAAATGAGTAGCTATAAAATAAGTAGGTAACAGTCTAATTATAAGTAGGTAACAGTCTAATTATAAGTAGGTAACAGTCTAACATAAGTAGGTAACAATATATATATATTGTTACCTACTATTCATGCATTCCTGGCGTAATATCAAAAAGTTCTTGAATTTGTGATGGGTCTAAGGATTCATGTAACCAAGGGTCTTCAAGAACTTGGATTTGATTATCAGGATCAAAATTAAAAGAAATAAAACTTGTAACAATGTGATATATAACTGTATTATAATTACGATCTAAATAATTTTTTTGTCCTTTTTGTTCGTTGTCAAATGCCATAAATAATAACCCCTTTGGAAGTGGTTCAGCTTTTCCAGCCAAATTTTCTTGCCATTTTATAAATTTTGTAAAGCTACCAGAACTTAAAATATGATTATCTATGTCAATGATGGTTCTAGATTTTGACAATGAATATTTAATTGCTGAAGTTGCTAAATTAATTGCAGAAACATATTTTAAATTCCTTGCTCCATAGACAGCATCTACTGCCACAGAACATTTGAAAAGTTTTTTACTGTCATGTTGATTTTCACTTTCACTATAAATAAGAGCCTCTATAAACTTAACAAGAACTGGATTACGTTTAGCAAGCCACTCTGAAGTTGAATATGATAAAAGATTATCCAAAGTGAATCTTTCTTGGTCATCAATTAAATTAACAATATCTTGATATATATTTTTTCGTTCATACCTAGCAACTTCTTTTATAATGTCAATTCTTACTTCTTGATCATCAAATCTTCTATTCCATTTTTCTTTCAATTCTTTATTTTCTGAAATTAAATTTTCATTTTGATGTTCCAACTCAATTATTTTTTGTTCATAATCTTTTATGATATTAACATAATTTACTCGCTGTGACTCTGAACTAATTAATTCATTTGTTATTTTTCCTAACTCTGACAAAAGATCCTGATATTGTAAATTCCTAAGCTGTTTATTTGAATTTATATCAACAGAAGTATATATAATATTGTCCTTTTGTAATTTCTCAAGAAAAGAATCTTTAGCAACTATTTGATTATAATGTTTTTGACAAACTGAGTAATTTTCTAATGAATCAAATGATAATTCTGGAAAATACTTAGCAATGAGAGATGCGCGTTCAACTGATGCTGGTGCTGACGCATGTTTCCATCGTTTTTCTAGATCATTATCACATAATGTCAACTGGCTTCTTGGATATTTGTTTGCAATATCTTCATACAAACATGGTAAGGTCTTAGCTAGTGGTCTAACATTCGCCATAACTAACTGTTAGAATTAAAAATTATAGAATCAACTTTGTAAAAAAAAAAAAAGAGATATGTTTTAGTCAATATGTCTCCTATGTATAAAAAAAAAACTAGTATGTAAGGTTGCGTGGATCCTGGTGGATTCTTAAAATATATATTCAGAAGCACTTATTTCAATTATTATTGTTATTATTATTATTTAAAAATTTTATTTTTCACAAAGCACGACATGTCACGTTAAATCGTTTGTAACATATATGAATTGATCAACAAGGGGTTTCCAATTTTTCTAGAATCGATTTCCAAATTTGGTAAAATACTTGACTGAATTACACAATGAATCTAGAATGTTAATCATTACAGTATTTGGAAATTCCAAATTTGGAAATCTCCTTGACTGTACTCATGAGTACTCATACTCATGAGTGCGGATCTTTCCATTAATAGTATGATCTACGAGTACTCACGGTACTCACGGTACTCACATTACTCATGAGTATATATCCGGATTACTCATGAGTAAATCATTATTATTATGAGTACAAACACTAGTTTCAATTTGTTCATTTTTATATATATATATATATAAATCGCGTGTAACGCGACAGTTTTGGGCTTAACATAGTAAACTTGTGCAACTTTGAGGCTTGATCTCTCCATGGTAATGTACCATATCAACAAAATGAAATCGTTGTGGAGAAAGGTCTTAGCTTCAAAATCATGTTTTGTTTTTTTGGTGTTACATTCCATTTCTGGTATACTAAATAATAAATAAAATAAAAAAGTAAATAAGAAAGTAAAAAAATTAAAAAAAAAAATTTAATGAAAAATTCAATTAAAAATTTAATGAAAAATTCAATTAAAAAAAATTTAACAAAAAATTCAATTAAAAATTTAACAAAAAATTCAACTAAAAATTTTAATGAGAATGTTGATGTTACCTTTCCCACATTTAACAGCATAGTCAAAATAATAGTCCAAAAGGAAACAAGCTATTTTGAAATTGATAGAAAAAGAGCTTCCAGAAAACAATTCCCACTCCAAAATGCCTTCTCATTGACTGTTCATAAAACACAGGGTTTGACCTTACCTCATATAACTATCTCTATTGATGAGAACATATTTGCCGAAGGCCAAACATATGTGGCATTGAGTGGAGCAAGCTCCTTGGATAACTTGAACATCCTGAAATTTGATTTTTCTCAAATAAAATGTTCAAAAGATGTTTTAATTGAATATAAGAGATTGGAAAAAATTAATCATGATGGATTGAAAACTTTAATGTAAAATGTTTAAAAATTTTATTACTATATATAAATAATAATAAATGTATATAATTTTTAACAAAGTAGGCTTGGTGATACCAGGTGACTGTTCTTGAGGATAACGCACTGCTCCTGTTTCTGCAATATCTTGTTTAGATCATACCATAGATTTGATTACTTTTTAAAGAAAAGCATTATTATTATGCGTTTAACCAATTAATTGACGATTATTTTTTTACTTTTTAAGAAAAGCATTATGCGCTAAAAATGCTAAAAAACAAAGTGCTGTGCATCTAATTAATTGACAATTTATTTTTATGTGAAACATCAAGTGTTTGTGTAATTTCCATTTTTTTTTGCTCACTTTATTTTATTTTTCCATTATTTAAATAAAAATGAATCCAATATTTGAAAATTATTTTAATGAAAATGAAAGATTATTAAATACAGAAAATTTTTATGATGTAAAAATATATGTTGGCATAGAACCAAACATTAAAGAAGTTCATGCACATGCATCTATCATATCAGCTCACTGTCCATTTTTTAGCAGTGAATTAAGCAATGCAACAAAAGAAAATGGATATTATATTATTAAGAAAACTAATATCAGTGAAAAAAATTTCAAACCTATTCTCAAGTAAGCTTAAATAATTTTATTATTATTTTATTTATTATTTGTTTATGATTATAAATACTGTATATAATTTAATAATTTATAGATTTTTATACACATGTAAATTTGAATTTGAAAATTATTCTGGAGCTGAAGTATTGGGACTATTAACTGCAGCAGATGAACTTGGTATTGAGTCACTTTATGAATATATGATAAAATACTTTATTGAAAATTATGAAGATTATATAAAAGAAAATCCAGTTAAAATTCTACAATTAATTTATGCTAATAAAAATTTTGAGGAATTGAAAAATATCTATTTAGAAAAATTTTGTGATCATAGTGAAAAATTATTTCAGTCAAGTGAATTTGAATCATTTGAAAAACAAATTCTATTGGAAATTCTCAAAAGGGATGATTTTTCTGTTGATGAGATAGTTATTTGGGAAAATATTTTTAAATGGGGATTGGCAAAACATCCAGAAATCAATAATAATATTGAAGATTGGTCATTGCAAAACTTCATTGATTTAAGTAAGACATTAAAGGAATTTCTTACTCTAATAAGATTTCAGGATATTTCTAAAGATGATTTTTTTAATAAAATTATGCAATATCAAATGCTTTTTCCTATGGCTTTATGGAAAGATATTTCACATTATTATTTATTTCCAGATAGACAACAAACTTTAAATTTATTACCATCAAGAATTTTAATAATTCCAACACTCGAATCATTGACAATCAACCAAAACCTTACATTACTTTTTGCAAGTTGGATTGATAGAAAAAGTCCACCATACAGTTCATTCAGGAAAGCTAAATATGAATTCAAACTTCTATATCAAAGTAGTAGAGATGGTTTAGATGCAACTAAATTTCATCAAAATTGTGATAATATCAACAACACTCTTGCAGTTGGCAAAATACAAAATTCAGAGCAAATAATTGGTGGTTATAATCCACTTAATTGGAATGGAACTTGGACATATAAAAACACAACTGAAAGTTTTATTTTTAATATAAGTAATAGAAATGATATCAATACTGCACAATTTAGTTATGTTGTTAATAATGAGTTTGTGTATGCAATTTGGTGTGATCCTTCTTGGTTACCTAGTTTTGGTTGTAACTGTGATCTTTGGTTTAAAACAGATAGCAGTGTTGGTAGTTCACCAAGGACCTACAGTGACTTCAATATAGTAAATGGTGATAAATTTGATGAATTGGAAGTTTTTCAAATAATTGATAAAAAATAAAAATAATAAATACAATATTAATTTCTTTTTGTATTTTTCATTATTATGCAAATATTCATACACGAGGCTTAATATTATACACTGTACCTCTAGACTAACCTGTTGCTATTTTGCACTAGATATCAAAAAGAATGTAATAGGCAATTCAATTCAAATTTAATTCGAATTTATAAATTCTTTGATTTGATTTGGTTCAAATCTAATTCAAATATATACTATAAAATTGTATATAATTTTAATGAGTTGTCTGGAAAATATTTACCTAATGTAATAATTGCATTGCACTGTGCTTGTTGAAGAAGTTATTAAAGAGGCATCATTTTCAACAATGCAATTATCGTCATTCATCATCATTATATTTATTATTTAATTTAACAATGAATTGTAAATTATTCTACTTTTGTTATCGTTATTAATAATATTAATAATGCGATAAACCCTCGTTTTAACGAATTATGATTAAATTCATTAAATTTGCTTCACATATTAATATTAAATTAGTTGAAACGCACGATTAGTAATTTTTGATGTGCTTAATAAATCTGTTGAAACGAGATTTGACTGTAATATATAAAAATTTGAATTTGTAAAAGATAAACCTATTCAGATAGAAACCCTATTAATATGTCAAAAAACTAGGAATCCGGTTGGAATTGAATTGAATCCAATTTTTTTGAATTTGACTCGATTCATTTGAAGCCTTAATTTCATCTGATGTTTGCATTTCCGTTTAAGTTCAATTTCAACTAATAATAAAACAATTATTCAAAAAATCTGTTCAACATGTAAGAAGTAATGTTAGTTGGGCATGCAAATATTTTGAAAAAAAAACAATGATAATAAGGTATTTACCCAAAATTTTCTATGCAAGCAAGTGTTTACTTGGAAATACCAGCAGGCATCAGAACCATCTGAGAGATTATTTTAATCAGCTTGGCTGGGAATTTATTTACAAAAAAAAAAAAAGAAATAGGCTTGTAAAAATAATGTTCATAATCTTTTTTCAAAGAAAATTCAAAACTTTGATCTTTATTTAGATTTTTGTTAAAATATTATTTTTTAGTGAATTGAATTCATATCATTTATATTATTATCTAATAAATCATTTGATAAAAATTTTATACAAGTTCTTGACCGACTAAAGTTTTTCTACCGGCCGACATCTAATGTTTCAGGCGAAACCTAACCCTTTCGCCCAATCCGAATCCGAAACTGGTGCGAAATTAGTTTTGCCAGACACCAGAATTCCTAAAATGTCCGAAATAGCCCAAATCCGAAATTAAAGCTGAAAGGCGAAATTTATCCGAAATCGTATGATCAATTTCTGACCAATAGTAATTTTTCATGAAGATCAATTGAAATTTTTCTATTTTATTTTAATTAACATTTAAAAATGGAAGAAAACGAAACAATAAATGACCATTCATCTTTTGTTACAGAAGAAAATATTTCTTTCATTAGTAATGTGTCTCCTGTTGTTGTTTCAAATGATGATACATTGACTGTATCCTCCCAAAAAATTAGTGGAAAACCTAAGTCAATTGTATGGGGCAGATACATCAAACAAGGAAGAGAAGTTTCAAAGGGACATTGGAATGCTACATGTAATTTTTGTGGGGTATTTTGGTATAAAGGTTCACCTGCTACTCTTGAAAATCACTTAGGTAATTTATGTGTAAAAGTACCAGTAGAAGTTCGTGATTTTTTTTTGGAAAGGTTAGCTACGAAGGCTAATGGAACAACAACAAGAAAATGAAAATCCAGCAATCAATCAATACTTCCTGATTATATTGAAAGCACTAAACTAACACCTCAACGTATTAATAATATAAATCGGGCATTGGTAAAATTATTTGTTGTTTGTGGAATTCCATTTTGCATTGTAGAGAATCCTTTTTTCATAGAGTTATTGAAAACATTACGTCTAGCATATGAACCTCCATCAAAGGATATTCTTTCTGGTTGTCTTTTGGCACAAGAAACAGCTTTTGTTAATCAAGCAGTAATCAAAGAATTAAAAAATTCCAAAAACTTGACTTTGGGTATGTTATAAATTTTATTACTTATTTACAATTAAAATATTAGGTTATTTATATATTAGATTATTTTATTTATTTACAATTAAAAATTCAAACTGTAACTTTATAAGCATGTGATGGATGGTGTAATCCTTCTAATGAATCAATTTGGAATTTTGTTGTACATACTCCTGATCACACTCAGTATTTATGGAGCCTTCGAAACTTATCAAATGAAAGACATACATAGGAGCTTTATCTCAAGAAATGGAACAAGTCATAGAAAAAATTGGACCAGAAAAATTTTCAGCGAATGTTACAGATGCTGGTGCCAATGTTCAAGCTGCTCGTCGTATTATTTCTGAAAAATATCCAAATATCTTAAATATTAGATGCATAGCACATGCTATCAATCTTATTTCAAAAGATATTTGTAATACACCATTTGCAAACCGCATGCTTAAATATTCCAATACTTTAGTTACTTATTTTAAAAAAAGTTATCTTGCAGGTATGTAGGTATGTTTAAATATTATCTGAAATTAGATGACAAATCAACTTAAAGTATAATAAATTATAGGAGATACACTCAGAACTTTAGCCAAAGAAAATCATGTTGAAGGAGGTGGACTTAAACAATGGGTGAATACTCATTGGCATACTATGTATGATTGTGTTTTGTCTATTATAAATCATAAAGTGACATTAGAAATGGTAAATTTGAAATTCAAATACTTTCCTCTTTTTCCTTTTATTTAAATAAATATATTTATAACATTCAAATTTATTAGATTCTCAACGATAATCCTGAAATTTTAAATACTTCAGTGCAAACAATATTGCATAAAAGAGCATTCTTTGATGATTTGAAAGCTCTAGCATTTATATTTTGTCCAATTAAAATGGCAATATCTACTCTAGAATCACGAAATTGTTCATTGGCAGATTGCTTTATTGGTTTGGTTTGCCTGGGTGCAGCAATTAAAAAACTTCCTGAGAATGACCATCATACTTTTCGACAACAAGCAATTGCAATTTTTAATAATCGATTTGAAAAATTTGATGATGATGCTTATGTTTTATGTTTTTTCTTACACCCTGGATATGATGGTAAGGAAAATTCTATATATTATATTTTTAAATTAGATTACAGGATTATAATAATCTTAAAACAATTATAGATTCTGTAGGGGCAAAAGGTGCATTGCGACATATCTTACTCACGGCAGATAATTACTATGAAAAAATGGGTAAAAACAGAAAACAGAGGAAAGAATTAATGTCTCAAATGAGAATGTACCGGGGCCGAAAACCACCTTTTGATATGCTGTTTGATACTGATGAGTCACCTTTTATGTGGTGGTTTTCTCTAGAAGATAGTTTCCGAAAGGGTGAAGATCACATTTGCCAGTTAGCTAATAAGTTGTTTTCTATAACTCCGCATGCAGCTGGCTGTGAGAGAATTTGGTCCAGATTAGGATGGTATTATGGAAAGCGTAGAACACAACTTTCTTTAGGAAAAATTGAAAATATGCAAAAACTTTCTTCTTTCTATCTTTCAAACTTGAAAAATGAATTACCATATTTTTCAGTAGAAAACCCATTGAAGATTTACATGATATATTGTGTAATACAGATTTTTATGATGATGAAAATTTGGAAGAGGTGCAAATTGCTGAAGAGACACACAACATTTTCACATTTCCAGCAGAAGAAACACTTAGAATTGAAGGAATCTTGAATCTAGATGCATCTGATTTTACAAATAATTTAGATGAGGTAATTTTAGATTCTAATTATGATTGTGAAGAAGATAATGATAATGAGGAATCTAATATGAGAGTTGTTATTCAAGATAATGATTTTGAGGAGGAAGAATGGGATCCTGAGAGAGAAATAGATGATATTTTGGACAAAGAATATTAATCTAAAAAATATGTGAATTTTTAATTTCACAATTCAAATTTTATTTATAAATTTGACTATTTTTATTCTTTTTTGAGATTATATATAGATAGTTTGATTTGGATTAATGAATTTATTTTGGTTGTTTTGGTTAAGAATTAAAAGAGAATAATAATAAACTTGAATTAAAATTTTTTAAAAATCATTCCATATTTGATTTCAAATTTCAGATTAGTTTTGGACTTTCGGATTAGTTTCGGAAAAATACAAAAAATCCGATACATTTCGGACCTTGTGATTAAGTTTCGCCTGAAACATTACTGACATCGCTATGGATGCTTTAAATTTATTATTATCAGTTTTGGTGGTTGTTGTGATTTTTATTTTAATACAGATGGTATTATATATCATGAGTAATCCAAAAACATATGTAGAAAATTTAATCAAACTTTTTAAAAAACGTGCATTACCAAAATCTTCTCCTAATTCAAGACAATCCTGATAAAAGATCAAAACTTGAATCATGTATGTACATAGATTTTTCCCATACTAAATAGATAGAATCTTTTCCTTTGTTAATGATTTGCTTTCTGTTTCTCTTTATCACCGACTAATTATAATTTTTTTGCATTAATAATAATAGTTAACTCCAAAGATTAAGACACATCAGATTTGATAAAAAATTGCTTGAAAAAAACTAGTACATATTACAGGAGTATTATGTATATACCATTGGAATCTGAATTCCCGAGTCCGTAACTGAACACTAATCATATTGAAAAAAAGTTAAAGAATCATTGTACACTGTATCATTATTAAAAAATAAAAATCGACTTGAGTTTCTTGTGGCTAAATTTGTTAAATAAGAAATTAATTAAAGATTTCAAATTGTCTAACATTTATCCAACATTAATTATACTAAATTCAAACTAAAATATTTACACTCCTGATATGGATTTCATTAAAAAAATTATGAAGTTAAATTTGATGGTGATGAGTTTTTATTAATAAAATTAAAAAAAAAGATTTAAACAATAAATGATGACTGATAAATTTCTAATTGTAATTATATATATATTGATATGTATATTATTTTTGTAACTTATCCAATCTTGGTTCAAAACCTTTATTTAAAAATATTGTAAACGCGTGCAAAAATGGTCATTCAACAATTCGTGTAACAATTAAAAATAAAATAACTTTTCTCCTCCAACTATATATAATTTTTTAAACAATGGCTACTTTTATTAGAAAATTTCGTTATCAAACAGTACTTTCAAGTTTACTTCAACAAAATAGACTCCCAGTTTTTTTCAGTGCATATAATAATAATAATAATAATGCGACAAAAGTAAGCCTCCTAATATAGTTATAGAATAAATTAATAAATACACATATTTTCATGTCCTCGTAAATTTCAAAGGCTACAATTGTAACTTACCGTTTCTCAAGTTCTAGTATTATTAAATATAAATCATATGCAACAGAAGTTGGTCGATCAGATAGTGAAGATATTCATCCTCGCTTTTCAGATACTGCTGATAATAATAACAAAACATCTATGAACACTAATAACGCTGATGGTACATCTTTTCCATCTTTATCAGAATTTTCATCAGATAATAATAAAAATGCAAAATCAAAATCGGAAGAATTAACAATCAAAGATCTTTCAAATGATATTACTGATGGTGGCCAGGATTGGTCCAAATCATATTATGGCTTGTCAATTCAACCTTTTTCAAAAGAGGCTACTGATATCTTGTTAGCTCCAGTTGATCCAAATGATGTTGAATGTAAACCTGGTAAAAAATATGTTTAAAATTCATTAAAGAAATGAAACAAAAGTTCAAAATTTGATTTTTACGTCACGATGTTTGATATTATTTTTTTATTCCATAGATGGTATAATTTATTTGCCTGAAATTAAGTATCGTCGTATATTGAATAAAGCATTTGGACCAGGAGGTAAATCATCAAGTATTCAACTAATTTTATTATTCTGTTTATTTTTTTTTAAAAAATTTTGTATCTAAAAATTTATAGGTTGGGGATTGGCACCAAGAGGTGATAATTCAGTTAGTCCTAGAATAATCTCTCGTGAATATGCTTTAGTATGTCATGGAAGGTATAAAAATTTATATTTATACATTTATTTATTGTTTACCTGTTTTTTTTTCCCATTAATAATAATAATAATGATGATGATGAAAAATCATTCAAATTGAAAGACTTGTTTCCATTGCTCGTGGTGAATGTGAATATTTTGATCCTTCAGGTTTAGCTACAGCAGCTGAAGGTGCTAAAAGCAATGCATTAATGAGATGTTGTAAAGATCTGGGAGTTGCTTCAGAATTATGGTTAGTATTTATTAATTGGTTGATATTATTGGTTAATTGAAAATTGATTAATTATTTATTTATTTTATTTTTTGGGCGTGTGGAATTTATTGTTATTTAAAGGGATCCAATTTTTATTCGTCAATTTAAAAATAAGTATTGTGAGGACGTGTTTGTAGAACATGTTGTAACAACAAAGAGAAGAAAGCATTGGAAGAGAAAAGATGCACCTGTAGATTATCCATTTAAAATTGTCAATTGATTATTATTATAAAAAAATTTTATATATAAAGATTGTGTGATTATATAAAATAGTAAGCCATTTTTTATCTGTCTTGTGAAATTTTTTTTTAATATTAATAAAATATAATACTAAAATCTTCAGTCAATTTATATTTACATGCTTTTATTTATACATTTATGTTTACATTTATTTATCATACAAAAGATCTTCTTTCTTATTGAAGAATTTAAATCTAAATAAAGATTCTGTAAACTTGATAAGTTGATCATTTATTTATATTATAAGGTAAACAATTGATTAAGAGGACTAGCTTATCAAGTTTACCTATGTATCAAAAGAAAATATTTAGAAATCAAATTATATATATATGCGTAAATGTATGTATTATTTTCAAGTTCATGTCACATTGCTAATTTTAATGCCTGCTTTAACTTTTAGTCTCCCATTAACCATTAATTAAAATTGGGTGATTACTACTGCTGCTGATAGTTTTGATGTATATTGATCCCTGAAATTTTTGGTAATACCAATGCTCACTTTGTCTGGTTTTGTTAATACTAAAATTACTAATAGAATTATTATTTATTTATGTGAGCTCGGTATAACGGATATTTAACTAGTACAGATTTAGGAACCATCTGCAACAAAATTGAATTTATTGGATATTTTTGCAGATAGTTTCTAAATTTGTACTAGTTAAATATCCATTATACCGAAACTCACTGTGTGTATATACTGCTAATTCCACTACTACTACTATTCTTAGATTTAGGCCTTGGTAAAGAATATCAAATAAATCACAATTACATGACCAATCCAATCCAATAAATAGAACAACTCAAATGGAATCATTGAATAATGTTAAAGCACTAGTTTTCCCAATCCAAACACACCAAAAGATGTAATTTTTTCAACATTTTGTGTTTTATGCTACTATGACTTTGTATAACGTTTTGCCATCATTTCTCACCTAATGAGAAACATGTAAAGTAACCAACGTATGCAAGTAATAAAAGTGCTCCTATGTTAGCTAAATTTTTTAAAATATAAATTTTGGTCTACAGATTTGTGTCGATGTTAAAATGTCCAATTATTCCATTCAACAATGTTGCAAATTCAAAGCTCCACTAATATTAAAAAATGTGGAATTTTTATTTCTACTTTGTCAATATCATTCTATTCTGGTAATACCGTTGTCATCACATCCATTGAACGAAATACCCACGATTCTTCGGTCAAAATTAATATTCCAAAGTACTATTATTATATAATTATGATTAATAATATTTATTCATGCACGCACATACTATATATAATAATAATTAGTTACCTAGTGAATGCACGTTTATCGGTTGCCCGCATGATCTAAAGAATGGCATATTCAGATATTCACTAGTCAATAAATAAACACAGAGTTGGAAAGAACCCAGCACCAATTTGTCTTTACCAACAAATAAAAGCACCCGATGCAAACTATTTCAAGGCATGTTTGTAAGATCCTGGGGGGATTTTATTTGCATCAGGGAATAGAGACATTGTGATGGATTTTCATTCGATAGGGATGAAAAGAAAATTGTGTACCAATCAAAAACGCACAAAAGAAATATGCATATGCAATCGTTTCGATTAATGATGGAAGTGTTGCTATTTAATGCTAACTTACTGTCTGTTAATTCGGTTGGTGGTTGATTTTTGTTGATGTGATGATTTTTGGTGGTGGACTGGATTTTAAATAATTATCCCCTGTCCATAAAATAAATCCATTGCAAATACACATTTAAATCGCCAGTTCGATTAAAATAATTACCACACAATAAATATGTAAAATTATCCTAAATAACAAAATAACCAAGTTAGAGCTGTGATCAAAAAGGAGTATTTAATATTAGAGCAGTTCTAAAAGTAGGATAGTAACAAGCCGGTGATAAGTTACGAAGAAAAGGTGCACATTTGATTTTCAAAGGATGTAAGAGCAAGAAACGATAGAAAAGAGCGATAGTATAGGAGAATGACTATTAAACAAAGAGTTTGTTCCGGTTTTCCGGTTATTACGCTGTGCTCATCACATTTTTTTTAAGAAAATAAATACAACATAAAAATTATCATCATCGACTTTTGGTAGGCTTTACTATAATAATAATAACTCCTTCTGAATGCGAACTTTCTTTTTCATTTGAATTATTTTTAAGTATGTTTGTGTTGTCATAAAAATTTATCATATCAATACAGTCAAATCTCGTTATTATTATCAATATAATGAACCCTCGTTATCATCTACTACGCCATTTTTAAGCAATTTTGTCACGAGAAACTCTGGTAAATAGTGAAAATATTCAAAATTTCAAATTATAAAGTTGCAAACTTTAAACCCTAAGGGCCTTTTTTTTTTGTATAGTATTGTGAAATTACTAGTTGCATTTAATATTAATTAGGTTGCTATAACGAGATTTGACACCTAATGCGGACAAATTTTTCTAGATTATCCTATCTCATGCGGGTTATATATATGATCATTTTATTAATATAAATATCAAATGTGACCCAGAAATTCTCTATATTAATCATTTTGGTGAATAATTAAAATATTCATTCAATCAGAGTATTAGACATTCAGTACTGTACTCTTTTGCATTCCTGTACTGTATGGCCTACAAAAATAGAATTTTTTTTAAAAAAGTCATACACCAACATACAGTACACAGCACCACACCAATCAAATGGATACTGTACTCATAACATTTAATACAGAAATGCTAATTTGCAGATCATACAGTACAGGAATGCAAAAGTATACAGTATTGAATGTCTTACCGACTGATCCAATCATTTTTTTTTCAAATAAAAACAATCTTTTCAAATAAAAGTGGACCAAAATTATGTTCTTCTTGAGATCATCATATAAGTGTGTAATATAATTAGATATAGATTCACCACAACATTACAAGGAACAATAATATCAAAAACTTCAGAGACATTAATAAACTTTATTTCACTTGTAATTTCTTCAAATAATAAAAGCAAAAACGAAATTCTTTGACAAGTTCAACAACTTATAAATCATTTCAAAATCTTCGAGAAACTTGCAACCTCCACACAATTAACTAACTTTAATTCATACTAGAGTGAGCAATACTTTCTATATTATATAAGCATTTATACAATTATATCCATGGATTCGATACATTACTGAATTACTGACTTGATGAGAACAAAGCCAGACTAAAAGACTAAATTATCATCCACAAAAAAATCGGTTATGGAATTGCACATGGATGAAAAGATAGAGACACCAGTCCATAGAATATGAGAATAAAACGCGTAGAATTTGATAATTTTTTGTCAAAATTTTATCGATTGTAAAAAGTAAGCTTAACAAAAATGCAAAATGAACTAATTCTTAATCGTAAAACCTTCAACGAAAACGAAGATGGTAACAGTAAACGTAGTAAAATGGATGTATTGATGATAAACAAATTGGCGATCAAATGCCGATTAAATTAATCTATAAAGCTCCTAAAGATGATGTTGAAAGTGAAGATAGTGAATTAGTGACGATGATCAAATTAATATATATGCTATTGATAAGACCATAATTAGTGGTAAGGGCAGCATTACCGTAGCAGATAATGAAAGCTAACGAGAAGTTAAAGAAAAAGTACCGGAACGCATGGAAATAGAAACTATTGATAATGAAGAAGGTTTATCATCATAAAAAATAAGAATAACACAATATTAAAAATAAAGAAGATATTGCAGAAATTATGAATTTAAAATTAAGTTAATACATTCGTTATAATTTACAACGAGCGAATAACTATATATTATGAAGATCCATTGCTCATAAAAAATCCAAGTTATATTAGAATTTATTTTGTTTATTTGCGTAACGTGAATTATGAACAGTTTGTCTTTAAAAAAAATTAAAATTTTTTCTATTTATATTTATGTAATATGTATGTATTTAATAATAAAGGTGTTAGTTGCACCAACGATGTAAACAATTATTTTTTATTTTTAATTTTATTTTTTTTAAAAAATAAAGCATTTCCCATACTTAATAACATCAATAAATACTATATTATATACACTATATATCATATTATATAACATTCTTTTCTTATTACTCAACTATTTATTTGTTAAACTATACTTTTTCAATTCGACAAAATTTTTTTAACGACGCATTCATTCATTCAAAAATAACAACTTATAAAACCTTTGTCTTGGAAAAATATTTTTTAAAATCCTCCTTTTTTCCTCATTTTAACGAAACACCCACTTTCACACACACACACACACACACATAATATTTAATATTTTAATATTTTTGTTATTAAGCTTCCAAAAATAATTGAAAATTTTTCCTGGTTGATTTATATATAGTATTTTAATATGGGCTCAATACTTTCACATTTAAGTAAGGGAAATGGAGTTGCATCAATGCCTGACTTAAACCTTGATCTTGAAAGTAAGCAAACATTCATTCGATTAATCTGATTTTATTTATTTCTCTAAATATATGTAAATAAACAATTATGCGATATAAAATTTATGTAGATGCTATACCAACAGAAACAGAATTAGCATTATATCAACATGTTTCGGCACTTTTGCAACCTACAGATGTATTATTAGATTCATTAAGGCTATATGAAGGGTGTGGAGATTTGATTAAAAAAGCAATATCAAATCCTACGCCTGATAATGAAGAAGAAGCATGGCAAGCTATACAACCTGCTGTTGCTAAATTAAAGAAATATTTTGAATATTCTACTTTACTTGGTATCAGAAAAATAATTGTTTATTATTATCAAGAAGATTAGAATGATTAATTAATGATACGATTTTAATTATTATTATTATTATTATTATTATTGTAGGAGATGCACTTCCAGAATTATTAAGCGCTTTATGTGATGGAAATGCTTTAAATAATATTGAACAACAACAAGCACTTACCAAGTTATTAGCAAATATACTAGATTTTGCTTTTGAATTCGATTCCTTGAAGGTTTTTATCTTTTAAATTTCATATTAATGAATGAGTTGTGCGTGAAAATAAAATTGCAATCACACTTGAGAAAATTAAATTAGCCAATCAAAAGGATTTCGCACCCAAGCACCCCTTCCCCTACATATTTAATTATAGATTTCAATTTCACATATAACAAATATAATGTTTATTGATTAACATTAATTATATTAATTATTTGCTTACAATTTTTTGTAGGTGAGAACACCATCAATTCAAAATGATTTCTCTTATTATAGAAGAACACTTAGTAGAGGAAAACTTGTAAATGAAGTTAGTTTAATTTATTACCATAACCTAAATTATATGTTACGAAGACCACCTTAAATAATATATTTTATTGTCATTATTGTATTCTAGGTAGATCTAAAGACAGCTATGATTGAGGATGAATTGGCCAATAGAATTTCATTGTTTTATGCATATCCAACACCAATGTTAAAAACAGTTACTGACGTAACTGAACTTTTTGTAGCCAAGGTAAATAAACAATCGATCTCAAACAATTATTCTATAAATTGTAATACTTATTAAAAAAACTAAATATAAATTTTTTGATCAATTAATAGAACAATCTTGGTAGAAGTGTGTTAGAATGTTTGTCAGGATTAGCTGCTGCTTGTTATCATTCAGTTACCAGAAGGTATTTTTTCGAGGGAAGGTGTGGTGAAAAAATTAAATCATCTTAATAATTATTTTTATATTTACGTGACATTTATATAGAACTCAAAAACCAGAAACAACAGCATTTTGTTTAAGAGTAATGGTTGTTTCCATTATTTTATATGATCACATTGATCCACAAGGTGCTTTCAATAGACAATCACTAATAAATGTAAGTAATTTAATTGTAGGTTATATGTGATAGAGAAAATTTCACAACACAAATTTAATAATATTATTTAATAATAATAATAATAATAATAATAATAATCATAATAATCACGATAGATAAAATCATCAGTAAAAGCAATTCAAACTCATGGTACAAGTGAATGTACTAATTTAATATCTGCATTGCGTTTCAACACCAAACATTTAAACGATCAATCAACTCCAAAAAATATAAAACAACTTTTGAGCGGTTATTAATTATTAGATTTGTATAAGATTTTGATTTAGATTGTTTTGTTTATTTTTGTTTGCTTTGTTTTTTTCCTTCTGATCGATGTTGGATTGAGCCTGCATTAAATTATAATTTTAATAGATAAATAGTTTATTATTGTATTTTTTTTTAAAAAAATTATCTGGGTCTAACCCAAATAAGGTGATGAACTCGGATTATTTTATTGGTTAATTTCATCAATTCAATTTTAGATCAAATAAATTTTAAATCAAAAAATCTTTTACAGTATAATATATATATATATTAGCATTAATGATATTTTCATTATTATTGTCGTCAAGTGTTCGTAATATCACTATTCTTAATATTGGTAAATCTTTTAGACTATCTAAAAACTTTGTAAAAATAATAAAAAA